CCAGAAGCCCCCCACGTGTAAAGCCCCTGCTCCACCCTCAGGCTTGTCTGTGGCCCTTGGTGTGTGTCCTTGGCCAGTCTGACCAACAGAGGAACGGGAGGCCAGTGTCCACCTACACAGTAAGTGTCACTAGAGTGCAATGTTTTTCCTATTGTTTGAAGCCATAGACGTTCTACTATTTTCTCCCCCACCTCAGAGACTCGTCTTTCAAAGGACCTGGTGCATGCAAGCCTCTTTTTGGAGACCACAGACTCCAAGGTAAGACAATCCTGAGTCAGACACTGGCAGATGAGACAAAATGAAAAGGTGTCTGGGGTAGGGGGCACTTGCGTGCTGACAAGGGGGAGGGGAGACAAGCTAAAGGGGTAACGATTGCCTAGAGCTTCCAGCTGGGGCTGCAGGAGGGCGGTGCCTCAATGTGACAAGCATGTACTAGGCTGCCTTCTCCCACCCTGGCCTTCTAGGCCAGGAGAAGATCCAACGGCTGTCTGCATGCCGTGCTTCACTTGAGCCCCATCCTTCTGTACTCCCCACCGTCGCTGAACAGACGTGTGAGGTGAGCAGCTGACTCGGACACTAGGACCTGCGGTCTAGTCTGTGTTGCCTACTGATTAGTAGTTGTGTGACTCTTGGGCTTTCTCATCTGCAAATTGAAAACAAGGGAACAAATCCTGTTTGCTTCACAGAATTATAATGTGGCTCAACTAACCTAAGGCACAGGCATGTGAAAAGGCTCTGAAAACAGCAGAGCACTGTATAAATGCACAGCATTATTATGACTTATTAGAGTCCTATGTGCAGAGTGATCAAGGTCCCTGGCAAGGCACTCACCCTGGCCTTTGTTTTTCTGGGACACATTCTAGGAGGGTGTGTGGCCAGGTGACTTAATATTTGAACACCATGATGAATAACCCATGGGCAGTGTGCCTGCATAGCTGAACATCCTGAAATACCACTGACCTCAGGTGTCTGGAGACAAGAGGTTACTCTTGGAAATGAGGAGACCTGAATGGTGCAGGGGTGCTGGGTCTTCTGGATAAGAACATGCCTTTCCTGCACACTCCCCTCTCTGAGCATTTCTTCAGTTGATCTGAAAGAAATCAAAGAAGCTGCCACTAAACTGAAGCATCATTTGAAGCTGGGAGATAAGAAGCTTCATCATACCCACTTTATTAACTTGAGGTCTGGCTTGCCCTGACCCTGATGCAATCAATCTATTACAATCTGATTGGGAAGTCTAAATACTGGATGGTTGAGTAGATGATTAGATTGACAGATAGATAGACAGCTAAATAGATAAATAGACAGCTAAATAGACAGATAGGTAGGTAGATACTTGGAAGGAGAATTAAATAGGTAACTGCAAACATGAGAAGATGCCAATGACATCAGATAAAAAGAACAATTTATCAAGTATCCACAATGTGCCAGGCACAATACGCGAGCTAGTTTCAAACCTGTCACTGCTGAATTCTTGCAGCAACACTGTGAGAAACCATCATCCTCATCTGTCAGATAAGGAAACTGAGGCACAGAGAGGTTAAGTAACTTTGCAAAGCCACCCAGCTAACTGCCGCCTGGTCTTTCATCTCACTGTTCCTGAGTCAGAGGACACCCACTCCTCCTATCCCCACCCTCCATCTCTGAATTGTCTTTGTTACTTTTGAACCTTCGTTTTATGTGAGAAACATCTTGGAAATTCTGAGAAATGCCCCAAACTACTTTCCATTCATTGAGAACCTGAAACTGGATCCTCCTTCATTCCTTTTCTAGCCACCTTCAAGTTTCTCAGGTCAAAGTGAGGCCTCTTAGGAGAAATCAAAGAGCCTTCTTTTAGGTGCCTACTCCCTGCCAACCAGCACAGAAATGCTTGTGAGGCTGGCCAGGTTCCAGGGGCACACTAAGGAAACTTGTTTGGAGCCAAAGGCATCTATGCAGCATCGCCCATGGAGCCCCCCTCTATCCTTCCTATCTCCTTTAGCTTCCTGAATTTTCATTGACTCCCTTTTCAACTGTCTCCCTCTCTCCCCACTGTCTGTCTCCCAGACAGGCAGAGATCTGGGCAGGAGCCCTGCAGTGATGTCAGGAGGGTAGGAGATGCTGAGGTGCATCTTGCCAGCTTGCCCCTGGGCCTCTCCATCCAACTCCCTCCCTGGCTTCCAGCTCTCAGGGTGTGAGGCCAACCCTCCAGGGAATTCCTTGTGCCTTCCCACAGGAGGCCAAGATTGAGTTTCGAGGCCACTGGCTACAGTGACAAGGAGGGCACGTCAGTTTTCAGAGAATGCTGTGAAGCTCTTGTTAGGAGATTCAACTGGCCAGGGAAGAAGAGGAGGCTCCTACAGTGTACTCTGTGGGGAATGGAAAAGCATCTGAGTCAGGGGTAGGGACAGGGAAGTTGGAGCAGTCTAGAAATCTCTCCAGATTTGTCCCAGAGTCCCTCCGATCTCTTCCTGGGTGGATCTGCTCAGCCTCTATCCCCTATTCTCTTGACTTCTGTGTCTCTTTTTGAAACTTCACAGAGTGGAAAGCATGAGGTGCTGGGCTCTGCAAGTCTCCTTCTACACAGATAAGGTTCTCTGTTGATCCCAAAAAGGCATTTAAAATACATAACCAGGAATCATAATTTTAGAAATGGGAGGCTGAGGACTAGAGGTCTGAAGTGGCTTGCCCAAGGTGATACACACTGCAAATTCTCATTTCATTATACCAAGGTAGAGGGAGTCCTCCAAATCCAGAGCCAGAGACTCATCTTCCAGACATGATGGGTGGGGTGACCCATTTTATTTGACTTTCTTGGGTCGTTCATGTTAAGAATCTTCTCTGGTCCAGGAGCGTGGCTGAGGCACAGCTCAGAATCAAGTCCCTGGCAGCCAGCAGCCCTAGCCAGAGCTGAGAATTCCCACAGACACCCCAAACCTGGTCAGAGCCCCACCCAGGGGAGGAGCTGTGAGAGGCCCCACCCAGCCGTCTGCCGCCGGTCCTGCAGCTTCCTCTTTCCCACAGAGAGAGCCACTCCATCAGAGAGTGGTTGTGTGTCTGCATCCCAGGGGTCAGGGCTGACGATGGGAACAATCTCAGGGACCCCGAAGACTATGCTCTACTTGAAAGCCCAGCCTGAAGACCTGAAGGACCGGTCCTAACAGAGTAAGGAAACTGGTAAGGAAGCTGCTGGCCCCGCTCCGTGCTTGGAGCGAGCAAAGGGAAGGGGAGCCAAACCTAAGCCCGGCAGGGACCCAGGGAAGGGGGCTGGGCTGGGATTTGCGGAGCACCTCCTTTGTACGAGGTCTCACCGTTGTCTTACAAACTATTCCTTTTATTAATACAGTGGCCCTAAACTTCAGGGGGAAGTTAAACAATCTTAGAGAAAACACAGAATCAAGATTAGAGCACCTTTGGGCTGATCCTAGAGCCACAGGTCTTCCTCTCGTATTGCCACCCAGGACACACACCGCACAAGCCCAGCTTCTGTGGTTTCCCAAGGTGGACCTGTGCTGATAATGTCTCTCCCCTCCTCGGCCTAATTCAGCTGCCCCACCTGCTTTCCAACAAATGGTTCTGTCTATGCAGAAGTGACGGGGGTGCAGCGCCCGTGGAGGAAGGGGGCTAACATGACAAATTTAAGCTCACAGTATTTGTGTGATGGCGACTCTGGGAATGGGAGTGGGAACCAGCACATACTGGATGGAATCACTTCTGCTTCACGGGGTCGCGAAGGGCCTGACATGGCTTAGCAACTGAACAACTGCTTCTCAGAGCCCATCTGTAAAAAGGGGGCATCAGTCACCTAGGTGACCCTGAAGTCCTGTGTCTGACACTGTTCTCCCTGAGGTGATGCCAACTTGAGTGCCCTCGGAATGACACGACAGTCAGCTCACACCCTGGGTATATGAGAAAGAGCTTGAGCTTTGGATTCCTGTAGTCATGGTGGAGTCACCAAAGTCCCCATGGAAGATGCAGAAGGTAGAGGAGAATGAAAGCAAGTGTTTGTTGAGTGCTTTCTGTTCCCTTTTGTTAGATGAGAAAACCAGTGCTCTGAGAGCTTAAACAACTCAGGGGTGTCTGAATCCAAAGTTCGAGTTCTACCAGTAGAAGCTGGATCTTAGCAGAGACCCCTCCGAGGAGGGTAAGAGTGCGTAGGCTGCCCCTACCCAGGAGTGGATCTGAGTGTATGGGTACCACGTTCCCGACAGACGCAGGAGGCTAGGTGGCTCCAGCCAGAGTCCCCAAGTATTGTGACCGCAGGACAATCCCTTGGGCACTGCCCCCTGGTGACCCAGTGCACGGCTCTGCCAAACACTGTTCCCAGTGTCTGTGTCAGAACTGATGGCCCAAGCCTGCAATCAGGCAGGTGGGTACCCGGACCATCACGTAAGGGCTGCTGCCTCTGCCACAGGGGACAGAGGCCCCAGCTACACTTGCCACTTAGGCCGTGCTGTGGGTGCAGTACTCTACCCCAGAGATGGGCTTGGTATCGAAAGGACCCCAGCTCAGCTCCGGGACCTGAAGCCTCTCTTCCCAGATACAGCACATAGAAGAGGGGCTTGGAAGCCCTGGGTTCAAATCACAGGCACTTAATGGCCACGTGATCTCAGTCAAAACCTTTCACTGATCTGAGAGTCAACTCTCGAAATTAACACCTACTGGGTAAGTTGGTCATGAGAATTAAATGAGATTAATTACCAAAAGTGGCACCTAGCAGGCATTTAGAGGGCTTTCTCCTTTTCTCTTTTCTTCCCTTATAAAATGAGACATTCTCAGCACTGTAACCAGAGCAAGCAGAGTGAGATGGGATCACACATCTAAGTGTAGCCTGGGTACAGCTTCTCAGAGAATGGACTCTTTGGAGCAGATTCAGAGGCCCAGGGCCCAGACATTCTCTCTTCCTAACTTAGGGCTGACCACAGGAAACACATGATTCCACCGGAGCCTTGGAGCTGAAGACTGGATTGAGGGTGGTACCTTATGAGAGCAGGGAGAGCTGAGGAGTGTCCCAGATGAGAATGGCACTAATCCAGGCCAGACAAGGAGGAAGCTGTCAGTGGCCATGGGCTCCAGGGAGAGGCTCAGTGCAGGAAGTAGCAGGGTGTGCATAGACGAGACTCCATCTGTCCCCACCATCTGGAGGGCCCCTGGCCTCCTTCATTCACCTGGCAAATGCACACACATCCTTCAAGAACCCAATGACCCTGTCTTTGACTTCCATCCTAGCACTGTCTCACCATCCCCCATGGAGCTGACCAGGCACTTCCTTTGTATTCCTTCCTTGAATCCGTTTACCTCGGCCCCTGTCACAGGACAGTCAGCGGGAGCTCCGGTCTCTTTCGCTGCTCACACTCCTCTCTCCCCAGCAGACCGCAGCTCGTGGGGGGCCTCACATGAGTCTGATTCACAGAAGGATCTCGTTAAGCCTTTGGAAAATTGAATGAAGGGATAGAAGGCATGGTAGTGCTCCCTGGACCTTCTTAAACATGACGCTGGGATTAAGAGGAAGGACAGGGCTGGGGAGATGCGCTAAAGGGAGAAGGTGTGATTACGAGCATCGGTGGATCGATGATGGTGATTTCGTGGCTGGTATTGTTGATGTACGAGCAGGCAAAGGCTGAAGCGGGGAAATAGGCCAGAGTGCAGATTTATAGGCGTGTACACATGTGCAAAGGTGTTCATCAGTGATTTTGTAATAGTAAAAGATTCAGAAATAACTTAGTAACCATATAGGACATGTGTTATATAAACGTTAGTACACTAATCTTATGAAATATCTCGTTGCCATCACAAAGAATAAGGTGGCTCTCTAGGAGTGACATGGAAAGCTCCCACTGACATTGGGAAAGAGTAGGTGTCATGGTACAGTGATTAAAAGTACTTATAGGTCAAATATACTTCAACTTTTTAAAGAAATGTGAAAGTGAAATAACCATAAAAAAAACATAAAATGTTAAAAAAAAAAAAAAGTGCTTGGCTCAGCTTGCCTGGATTCAGTTCTGCTCTTCATGTGCTATATAGCCTTGGTATTTTCTTATCATCTCCAAGCCTCAGTTTCTTCATTTGTAAGATGACAATGGTAGTAACTACCTCAAAAAGTTGTTGTGGGGATTGAAGAGGTTCTTGGCATAGTAAAAGCATGCATTCAATATTTAATAAAGATTTGCTTTTATTATTAAGTGAAAATGTATGTAGCAAAAACTGTATGCCATCATTCCAGTTTTGCTTTTAAACTTTTTCTTCATGCAAAGATAGATATGCACATAAAAATATAGTGGATGTGTGGATAAAACAACCGTTAACAATGGTTATCTCGGATGTATGAGACTAGAGAAGTGAGGGAGGGATTTACACTGTTTTTTTAAGAGAGTTTATTTTTTCAGAACTTTTAAGTTCACAGCAAAACTGAGCTCCATACACATACACAGCCTCTTCCACCATCAACATCTCCCACCCAAGTGGTACATGTGTCAAATCAGTACACCTACATCGACACATCACTGAGATTTTCACGTGTGACTGTATACATCTCTAGTCCATTTCCATTTCTAGAATAAACACGTGTTTGTTTTGTAAGTAATGTTAATTAATGACTGACTTGCACCCTAAGCCCCAGAATGGCAAGACTCCAGAAAGTGACCTTGTTCACAGAAACTACTAAAGAGGTCAAATCTGGGGCTGCCTGGGAAGGAGACCTGAGCCCCGTCCCCGCCCTGAGGCCCTCCACTGCTGTCAGCAGCCTGATGGATCGCAGGCTCACCTGCCTGGGTGCAAGCTTCTGCCAGAGACATCTGACAGCAGTCCCCAAACCGAGGCAGCCAGCCCCCAGGCCGGGCCTCCCCTGACAGCCTGCACGCACACAGTGCTCACCCGCCGGCTAAGCAGCTTCAGAGCCCCAGGGAGCAGGTCCAGCGGGCGGAGAGCCCCAGGGGGACTGGGTCTTGAGACTGCCAGCCCTATCTGCGAAGCCTCCTATGACATTCACTGGCACAGTGAGCTCTATATTCTCATTGCAATACAGGGATAAACCTGCCCATCTCACAAGGCCATTGTGAGCACAGATGAGGAGAATCTGTGGGAAAGTATCTAACATGTTTCTTGGCACATGGAGGTCCTCGGGAAGTTCTCATTTCCTGCTTAACAGGCCTAGACCCTCCGAAATACGGCATGGTAGGAGGGGAGTTGTGGTTGGGATGTCCTCCTGGAAAATCAGGACAAGGACAGGGTGGGCACTGTCCTGGGGCTGTCCACACATGCACCTCAGGATGCACCAGCTACATTTCTGCTCCGGAGAACCGCTCTCTAAACAAGTCCTCAGCCTTTATTTGAAATGTGATCCTCCAATGAAATTGAGCGAGTTGAAGCGATGTGGCTGAATCTAGAGCCTGTCATACAGAGTGAAGTAAGTCAGAAGGAGAAAAACAAACATCGTATATGGAATCTAGAAGACTGGTACTGATGAAGCTATTTGCAGGGCAGGAATGGAGGCACAGATGCAGAGAATGGACTTGCTGATACAGTGGTGGGGGAGGAGTTGAGAGAGTAGCACTGATGTGTGTACACTATCATATGTATAATAGCTAGTGGGAAACTGCTGTATCACGCAGGGAGCTCAGTCTGGTGCTCTGTCATGGCCTAGAGGGGTGGGATGGGGGTGTGGTGGCAGGGAGCCTCAAGAAGGAGGGGATATACGTATACATGTGGCTGATTCATCATGTTGTACAGCAGGAACGAACAACACTGTGAAGGAATTATATTCCAATTTTAAAAAGTGAAAAAAAAAATCAATGTGATCTTCCAAAACGAAGGCATTCCCGGAGGACATGCAGGGGGGAGGAGCTGCGTGTGGGTGTGGGAAGAGGCTGCTCCCCAGGAGGCGGGGACCATGCCGGGCCTGACCCCCCAGGAGAGAAAAGCCGGGCTGGGAGGAGCTGCGCCCTTGGGGCTGTCTGCCTCCCACCTGCCGCCTCTGTCTCCCCAGGTGGCCGCTCCCTCAGCCTGGCGCCACACGCGGCTCTCAGCATGAGGCGCAGCCTCCGACTGGCCCTCGCCTGTCTGAGTCTCCTCTCCGCTCGGTGAGCTCTGCCGCCCCACCGCGGCCTCGGTCTGAATTGCTCTGCGTCTTGCACACGGTGGGAGGGGCGGCGGGCCTTTCTCCTTAGCAGCGACAAGACAAGGCCTAGTGCCTTCACCCCTCTGACGTACCAGGACTATACATTTTCTTGCCATTTTTTTCTACCCGGAGAAGTCAAGCTTCCAAAATGGTCAGAGATGGATAAATCCCTTTTGTTTTGGGGGAAAGTTTTGAGTGTTTCCAAATTACCGCGACATTATGATACATGGCAAATGCATAATAAAGTGGGTGAGACAGAGATACGTTTAATTCAGCAGTTGGAAATTAGAGGGTTCTCTTTGGAAGAGTCACTACTGATACATGAGTACAACCACACGCATGTGCGTGCTTGCTTGCTCTTGTGTCTGACTCTGCAACCCATGGACTGCATGCAGCCCTCCAGGCTCCTCTGTCCATGGAATTTTCCAGGCAAGAATACTGGGGTGGGTTTCCATTTCCTACTCCAGAGGATCTTCCTGACCCAGGGATCAAACCTGTGTCTCCTGCGTCTTCTGCATTGGCAGACGGATTCTTTACCACCGAGCCACCTGGAAGCCCATATAACCACACACATGCATGAAAACACAAGCTCAAGTTTCAAGTTTGTATGTATGTATGTTGATCCACACATCAGCACACACGTACACTGAAACCTGTTCTCTTCTGCAGGATGTGCATCCAGGGGAATCAGCTTAACATCGAGGTCAGCAGAAGCGACAAACTGTCCCTGCCTGGCTTTGAGAATCTCACAGCAGGATATAACAAGTTTCTCAGGCCCAATTTTGGCGGTAGGTCGTTCTTTTTGCCCAGGACATCAATTCAAAAGGAACAGGATCAGAGTTAATATGCAGACGAGGGTTTCAGGAGACTATAGTTGGCTGCTTTTTCTGATCTAACATTGGTAGTGATGGATACAAATATCTGCCCATGGTTTTCCATGCTCTCATGCTGGCAGAAAGCACTTTCTCTGGTCTCTCCACCTGCAGGATATAGAAATCCTCCTCCCCAGGGAGGTTACTAGAGCCTCCTCACTACCCCACACCCCCTGTCTGCCTTCTACCCACACTTCTGGTATCATTACTTGAGAAACCCACTATGTCTCACCAGGACTGTTCCACCTGTTCCTCACACCTCAGCCTGCCCCCTCAAGACTAGCCCTCTACTTTGCCATTGGGATGACCCACTGGGCCCTTTGCTGCTCAGAATTCTTCCTGCTCCCCAGTCTCTCCAGCCTAGAGTCCAGAGCCCTTTGCATGGCACACCCAGCACTTCCCAGCCCCACCTCTATCTGTCTGTCAACCTCATCTCCCCAGCTTCTCCCCGCTCTGCCCTTATACAAATGTGCCCCCAGACCTCCTTGGCCTCTCTAGTCTCCGTGGTTTTTGCTGAGATTATTTATCTGCCAAGAAGAGCTTGCTCCAGTTTGACTCCTGGTAAAATGCCAGTTTTCCTTCATGTCTCAGATCAAAGGCTTCCTCTTCTGAGCAGCCCACACAGATTCCTCCAGGCCTCATGCCCTTCCTTCACACTTTGTTTTGAATGTATTTCTAAATCATAGCTGTTACCGGCTGATACTGTCACTGGCTTTATGTCTGTCTCGGCTCTGGGCTAATGCCCCTTGCAGAAATCCTGCGTTATTTACTTCACTAGCCCCAGCGGTATCTCAGTGCTCAACAGGTAGCAAGTTATCAACTAATATATCCTGAACGGTGAGGCAAGGATGGAAAGAATGAGGCCACCACCTACCTCCTTCCCACAGGGTCTCAGCCTCTCGTTTGTAAAATGCAAGACTGAACAATGTGGTTACTAATGTCTTGTTACCTTGAGTAGTAGAAAGAGCCTTGGAGTTGAATAAACCTGAGTTTGGCTCCTGGCTCAACTGCTGGGTAAGCATCTTAGCTTTCTGTAACTGGGGGGCATATCATCTACCTCACAGGGAGGATTGAGTGAAGTGTGTAAATATATCATCAGGATGCCATCTATTTTAATCCCTTTGCCTTCCTGCTCCTCCCTTCAGTTGATATTAATAAAATTCTCTGGTCAGATCTAGGATTAGTGAGTTAGTCCAGGTCCTCTGAGGAGCAAACAATGAGAGGGGATTATCCTTGCAAGATATTTATTGGGGCCATATCTATGACAAAATATGGGGCAGGAAAAGGAGGAAGCTGGAGAGTTGTCAGACTGCAATGCAGGGAAGAAGGGAGGGAGGGAAGAAAGGCTGGTGGAGGTGCCTTAGACCACAGAGCAGTTCTAAGCATGTTCGGGAAGTCCACCACGAAGTCCTTGAGCGGAAGTTCCCCTCAGAGGAGTCTCCCATCTCTGTGCCTCCCAGGAGCAGGCCTGCCTTAGTATTCCTAACACGTTCAGGCCCCAGTGGGATGCAGCCCATGGGAAGTGTGGCCTCTGAACAAGTGTGGTGAAAGGTTTCAGAGCACAGCAGCTGGGGCCACTCACCCCCTTCAGATGGAGATCTGAGAGACCCAACCTCATAGCCACACATTTAGGATTTGAGGTCCTTATGTTAAGGGACCTTGGGGGCTTCCACCTTCCCTTGTTTTCCCAGGACCAACTGAATGCTAATGACAAGCCCAGGAGTGTGCACACCTGGTTAGATTTGCTGAACAATTTCTCTGCCTCCCAAATGCCAAACAACTGGGCCAGAACACTGCCCTTCTTGTTGCTGGCTCGTGGACCCACAGGGTGCAGAGTCCCTGGGTAATGTACCCATTCTGAGCCTGAGGTGGCCCTCAGGGATGTGAGGCCCAGACCCACCTGGGGTGGAAATGGGGTAAGGGGTCCTCAGTCAAAAGGAGGGGAAGGCACACCCCCACCCCTTGTCACGAGCCTTTGGCACGCTGCCTCCTGACAGAACCTACATGTATGAGGCAGCCTCCCGGCCCAGGGAGGGGCTGCAGTTCCCTGGAGTATTGTCTGTCCACCCAGATCTAGGACCCTAAAGTCCCTGAGTGGCCAGATCTCCCTAGGGCTTTTCAGGGACTGAGCCTGGCGGCACGGGTCTGCAAGCCTCTGCCAGGACCTGCTCTTGACCTGCTTCCTAGGAGAAAGCTGCCCTCTGGGGGCTCTGCTCACTTTTCTAACTCACAGGGAAGTAAGAACAAACTCTGGTCCATAAAAAAGCTGGGACTAGACTACCTAGAAACAAACTAAACACACAAAAACCCACAGTGAGCCTGAAGCGCTTGTACTTTTTCGGTTCTCCACGTTCCTCGGGGATGGTAACCAGTGCTGACCCACGGCCTGCTGTGTGCCGAGCACTTACCTTCCCACCCCACCCTGATGATCAACGTTAGTAGCTCTATTTTAAAGATGAGAAACTGTAGAACTGTAGAGAGGTTTAGCAATTTGTTCAAGGACACACTGCTGTGATGTGGCCACTCTGACCCTAAGCTGCTCTTCTTGATGTTGCACCTTGCTGCTATGAGGGGCAGAGAGCCACTTAGCACCTTAACTCCTTCAGTACCTTCCAGGGTCTGCCCTGAAAGATCTACCCCTTTCCCACCAAGTATTCAGTTAATTATTTTTAATTGCACTGGCTTTAAAACTCCAATTCCAAGTTCTTAACCTATATCCTGTGGCTTGATTTCCTCCAATTAATAATTAGGCTGCTCTCTGATTCCTCCCAGTTTGATGTGTTGAAGCATTTTGAATTCCGCCTCTCCTTTTCCTAGTTAATGTGTTGTCACAGTTCCCAGAGGTACCCCCAGTTATTATCCCAAGTGAATGCTTTCCACCTATTAACCTGGTGAGGAAAGTTGTTTCTTTTCCAGAATTAGCTAAGATCATGGAAGAGAGCGATAAGGGAAGGGAAATGCTATTTACCAAGTGCCTGGTATCACATGATAGAAACCACGCTGGGGGCTTTTTACACAAAATTATTTCTGAGCACTTTCTATATGCCCAGCTAGGCAGCCTCTTCCCGTATATTCTGTCTCGTCACCACCCTGCAAAGAAGCTATCACACACCTTCTCTCATTTACCCTTCTCTGTGACCCTCTGATGTCATTAGCATTATTCAAGCCTGCAGGTGAGAAGGCTGCAGCTCTGAAAGGTCTGCTAACTTCCCAGATCAGACTCACGTCTTTCTGGCTCCCGGACTTCTGTTCCACATCTCTAGTCTCAGGGGGAGTAAACATTCCTGGCCTGGCCACTGAGAATGGTGGCTCCCATTCTTCTTCACTTCTTCTTACTTCACTTGAGAGGTAAGACAGGCACCCTCAGAAGTCAGGCCCATCTGCCCAGACTCCAGGATTGAGGCCCAGCATCTGTACACCAGACCAAATGGGGATGGTTCTGCAATTCTAAATAGTTTAAGGTTCCTGGAGAGCAAAGGAAGAGGAGAAAGATGTCAGGAAGTGAGTGGAAGCTCAACCATGAGCAGTCTTGAATGCCATCTGGTGGTAAATTTACTTGGTTGAAGGGGGAAAATATATTTGTGTACAAATTCCCAAATCTCTATTACATTTCTAAATAAATGAGTCCCTGGCAAGCACCATAGTAAAAAGTCCTCCAAGTAAGAAGTAGCAAATACCATTCCATTCCTTAAAATAAACACTAATGAATATAGTATGGTCTTGCTTTCAGGTGTTTAGCTAAGTGTATATGTGTGCATTATTTTTTCATACAAAAGGGAGGCACACCTTCTATTGTCATTTCTCCTGCGAGGGGGAGGATAGAAATTAATCTTTTATTTATAAGCTTCTAAACTGTTTAAAATTTTGCAGTAAGTCATTGTTACTTTTTAAATTTTCTAATACATATATTTCTTATGTGCGTGCTTGCCAAGTTGCTTCAATCATGCCTGACTCTTTGTGACCGCATCTGACTCTTTGCAACCCCATGGACTGTAGCCCACCAGGCTCCTCTGTTGATGAGATTTTCCGGGCAAGAATACTGGAATGGGTTGCCTTTCCCTTCTCCAGGGGATCTTCCCAACCCAGGGATGGAACCTGCGTCTCTCGTGTCTCCTGCATTGCAAATTCGCTGCCACTAGCGCCACCTGGGAAGCCCATATGTTTCTTATATATATTTTAAATTAGTTATTAATATATATAACTATATATTTTTTAACTGTGCTAATGTTAGCAAATCTGTTTATATTTCTATGTAAGGCTTTCTGTTTTTTCTTCATCTTAGGAGAACCTGTTCAGATAGCACTGACTCTGGACATTGCAAGTATTTCCAGTATCTCAGAGAGCAACATGGTAAGTGTGCTTCCCTCGCCTTCCACCCGCTGAGCCCCCTTCTGTGTTTTCTGAGGATACCCATTCTAGCTCAAAACAGAACAGAGACTTACTTGGAATGGCAGGAGCTGGAGACCTATCCTGAAACTCAAGACAGTGGAAGATGCTTGTAAAACAAATCTCTGAGTATCAGAGGGAAACTGGATTCAAAGGCTAGGAGGGGAGAAATGGGGGAGTGGGTGTGCTGGGTGAGGGATAAGAATGGGGAAAAATAAAACTGCAGGGAGGAAGCCTGAATATCACGGGGTTCCTCACAGAGCAGGAGACAAAACCAGTAATCACATAACTTCTTTCAACCATCCTCTCACTTAAGAGAACGCATCTTAGACAAGGTGATGCTACAGGCACTTTGCTGTGAGCCCGCTGTAGGCTGCAGGGAAACTGGACAGCCTGAGCACTTCGCTCACCAAAGCCTTGGAAAACTTCGTGTGGCCTTTGTGATCAAGGGGAAGTTGGTTCAGGCCCTGAACATACTCCTAAGCGGCTCCCTTTGGGCAGTGGGCATTATTATCCAGAATAAATAAGGTGCTTCGTTCTCTTATTGCTACAGGCCGCCACCTCAAGGCAAGCTGCATTCACCCCTGTCTACTGTGACATGCGCTCTTGACCTCAGTAGAGGTGGGGAGGGAAGTAAGATTTTACCCTTTTCCTTGCACTTTCTGAGCTTTCTCCTTCCATCCACTTCCTCTCCCCGGCTGCCCCTCAGGACTACACAGCCACCATATACCTCAGACAGCGCTGGACGGACCAGCGGCTGGTGTTCGAAGGCAACAAGAGCTTCACTCTGGATGCACGCCTAGTGGAGTTCCTCTGGGTGCCAGACACTTACATCGTGGAGTCCAAAAAGTCCTTCCTCCACGAAGTCACCGTGGGAAACAGGCTCATCCGCCTCTTCTCCAATGGCACAGTCCTGTATGCCCTCAGGTACCGGGCACCTGCGACCTCAGAGTCGGAGGGGAGAGAGCGGGGAGGAAAGGAGAAGGATGTTCTGACCAGTCTTCAAACAACCCCGTCCCCTTCTCATGGGCCTGCCTTCTTAGATCCTTGTCCCCAGAGCAGAAGGGCCCTTTCCCTGTCCAACTGGGCTCAACAAGTCTCTTCTGAGAATGTGTGCTCCGCGCCAGGCCTGTGCTGGATGCTGAGGCCGTGGAGCTGAATCAGATGTTGTCCTGGCACAGATACGTAAGCAAGGAAGTCAGGGCACTAGGAGCCCGAGGCGGGAGTGGGACAGTGGTTTGGGATGATGTTAGAGGAGGCTTTCGCAGGACTCTAAGCTGAGGCTTAAAGAGTAAAAGGAAGTTAACTAGGAAGAGGAAAGGGGAACAGCAAACGCAAACAGAGAGGTGATACAAAGAACTTCCTTTTCATGGGCACAACGGGGCAGTTGGTGGCTACAGAATACATCTCTACTTAGGTGAGCCCTTCTTGTACAGATAGAAAAATCAAAGTACAGTCCTCCAAAGCCTCACTACCTGTAGTCATGGGTTCCGCTTTGCCCCTTCTTCAAATCCCCGAGGCCAAAACTTCCTCCCACCCAAGTGTTCATCAAGTTGTTGTTTGGCGACAATAGGAAAGATGCCCCTAAGGTGCTCCCTGGAGCAGCCTACAGGCAGAGGATTCACCACTGCCTCTGCCAGGGCTGGACCATGACTGCAAACCTATCGCTGCTAGAGGCCTTCAGTAGAAGGCTAGGGACCAGCCTACTACTTTTCATGAAAGTGAAAGTCGCTCAGTTGTGTCCAGCCTCATGGACTATACAGTTTATGGAATTCTCCAGGCCAGAATCCTGGAGTGTGCAGTTTTTCCCTTCTTGAGGGGATCTTCCCAACCCAGGGATCAAACTCAGGTCTCCTGTATTGCAGGCATATTCTTTACCAGCTGAGCCACAAAGTTTAGCCAAAACCCCAACACCTCTTTCAAGAAGTCCAGTAGACCTCTCCCTTGACCCTAACCCCAGTTAATATTAAGGTGCCCATTCCTTGCATTCCCGCAGCACATGTGAGTGTGCATGTGCATGTGTGTGTGTCTCTCTGTATTATGGCACATAGCAGTGTCTTGTACAAGGATAACAAATAATGGATGAGGGTTAATAGCCTGGCTCTAGAGTCAGACAGATTTAGAACAAGTTCCTGCTCTCTGACCTTAGACAAGTTATTGATTCTCAGAGCCCAGAATAAACTGGATGCAGAAGCATCTCAAAAAAGCCAATGAATGATTCTGTTTTGTGATATTGTTGCAAGTTTGTCTCTGAATTGCCAACATTCTAACTTTCTGCACTCTGGACTCGCTTTAACCAAGTCTCATGGGCGTTGCTTAGTGCAGAAAAACTCAGGACTGCTTTGAATGTAGGCACCAAGCCACACATTCACTCTAAGAGTCAAGGTGAAAGTTCTCTTGGAGTGGCCCTTAAGAGGGAGTGTATACTTTCTATAGCATCCTTATAACACTCTCTATGAATCCATTTTTCCTTTCTTAGAATCACAACAACTGTTGCATGTAACATGGACCTGTCTAAATACCCCATGGACACACAGACATGCAAGTTGCAACTAGAGAGCTGTGAGTACACGTCATGTGGGCCCCTTAGATGAGTTTCTGGGGTGACTTAGATCTGTGTATGTGTGAGGAGTGTCCTACTCATAGTAGACTTTCTCTCCTTGCTGTTGATGACAATGGGTTCATCCCTTCTGGGTGTATGTCCAGAGAGATTTAGAGACTTTCAAAAATAAACCTTTCAACGTTATGTCTTTGGGAGAGGACCACTGTGTGTTGGCACCAAGTATTTCCTCCTAAAAGTAGACAGGACAGCAAAGCAAACAGGAGTCAATAGGACTAGGAAGGAGTCTCGGAAACTATTAAGCATGGAAGCCAGAAAGAGCACAGCAGAAGTAAGAAATGGCAGATACACAAAACAATCATTGACATTTATTGCAAGACTGCTTTAAACTTCTAAAATAAATTATTTGATATACATAAAGCTTAGTAGCATAATGTCAGTAAGTGAACATCTAAACTGCATCCTGGGGATTTGCTTATGATGAAGAATGAGGATTTACTCTAAGTTGATGGGTGTCAAATGAATTCCTGGCACTGTGAGTGATCTTGTGATTCCTTAGTAAACCACTCCAAAATGCCCATCATGGGAAGGTGGCACCTGTGATACAAGTCCTAGGAAGAAAATGCCACAGATAGCGATTATTAAGGCATCAAGGCATGGCTTGCACAAGGAGGAAAAACTATAGTCAAGCTCTGGAAACCACTGGGTACTTCGTACATGAGGACACTAGTGGCCAACATTCAAGAAACAGAACCATTATGAGACAACAGTAATTTTTCAGAGGTAGACATTTAATTAAAGACTCAGGCGGGCAGATTAATTGCCTTATTGATTAAATGCATGAAAAGCCTTCCTGAAGCAATGCAGCTGTTTGGGGGCAGACTAAAACTTGAGGTTATCAAAAAGAGAGCTCATTTTCAGCCCCACGTACAAAAAGCAATTCCCCCCCATGGGTGGCTGTGCTCATCTCAAATCTCAGGAGTGAGATTCTCCTGGAAACTCCAGCACTCTGCTTGCACAAATATTCTCCCCAGTGAGCAGAGGAAGCTTTCACTGAATCTGGGTTCAGAAACCTCACCAAGGGTTTTTTCCTGAATGCTATCCCTAGAAAAGAATTGATACTATTCCACAATTGCCCATATCCACTCAGGGACAGAGCAATGAGAAGGTGAGCATTTACCAGTCACTTTGCCCACAAAAGTCCATATAGTTAAAGCTATGGTTTTTCTAGTAGTTATGTACAGATATGAGAGTTGGACCATAAAAAAGGCTGAGTGCTGAAAAATTGATGCTTTCAAATTGTAGTGCTGGAGGAGACTCTTGAGAGTCCCTTGGACATCAAGGAGATCAAACCAGTCAATCCTAAAGGAAATCATCCCTGAATATTCATCAGAAGGACTGATGCTGAAGCTGAAGCTTCAGTATTTTGGCCATCTGATGCAAAGAGCCAACTCACTGGAAAAGACCCTGATGCTGGGAAAGACTGAGGGCAGGAGGAGAAAGGGGCGACAGAGGATGAGATGGTTGGATGGCATCACTGACTCAATGGACATGAGTTTGAGCAAACTCCAGGAGATGGTGGGTAGGGAAGCCTGGTGTGCTGCAGTCCATGGGGTCACAAAGAGTAGAACACAACTTAGTGACTAGACAACAACCCCACCATCAATTATAAAAGCAAAGTATCTAAGTAGAGGCTTGTACAACTTACTTTTTTAGATACTTTTTCCCTTTGGGATTCCAGACAAAATGATACAAGCAATACAAGTTGCTCCAACTTGTCTCCACCTTTCAGCTGTTATGAATGATGGTGCTGTGAACATTTTTGTACAAGTCCTTTTATGGACATGATTTGATTTCTCTTGGATATATACTTAGGACTAAAACGCTGGGTCAAATTTATGTTTAATTTTTTCAAGAAACTGTAAAATTGTTTTCCAAAGTGGTTGCACCATTTTATATTTCCACCAGCAACATTCAACTTCTCCACACTCTCACCATCTATTATTGTCTATCTTTTTATTTCAGCCATTCTAGTGGATGTGAACTGGTATCTTACTGTGGTTTTGATTTGTGTTTCCCTTATGACAAATGATTTTGAGAATCTTTTTATGTGCTTATTAACCACTCATCTATCTTCTCAAAGGTATTATCTGAGGATTAAATGAGATGATAATGTTGCAAAGCACTTAGAAAGGTAACTGCTTACTAAGTGATAGATATTATCATCATCATCCATGGACTTTGGTATTAAACTTCCTTGAGGTCCAGTACTGGTTTGTTTCTCATTTGCTTTGCTATCCTGAGAAAGTTATGCAGTCTCTCTGAATCTGATAATTTTCATGTATAAAAGGGGCAAAACATTACAGTTCCTTAGTTTTAAGGCACAGCATTTATCAAATAGTAACAATGCAGAAAAATGTAAGCTCTAAGCTCTACTTAATATATATCAACTGTAAGATCCATTTCAATTTCATAAAATGTAAAAAAAAAAGCTTTAAATAATGAAGAAATATATAGCTCTACTTTGCAAGCTTGTGAGAATCTTAGAGACATAATATGTAAAGAACTTAATGTAAATGTTTAATAAAAGGTAGCTATTATTACTATCATCACTATTAGTAAAACTGGTTTGAGGTTTATCAAATACTTATGTTTGCAGACATCAATAAAGTGGCTGGCTGAAAGTTTTTTGGGTTTTTTTAGTTGCATTATGCCAATATGAAAATATGAACAGAACAAATGTCCCTGAGAATCCCCTCCAAAGTGTTAGACTGTCCTGAAAGGCAATGTCTACTATAGATCTTTGTGAGTTCACAGATATGTGTTCAAAAATATCATTTAAATAATGACAGAGGCCATTTCTAGGTCCTTACCATCTACTGGGTGTACACAGTGCGTAGCGCAGAGCTGGTTCTCCCTGGTGGTGAAAAGCCCTAGGAGGCCAGCCCATTCTGGGTACACACTGAGACTGCACTGGAGAAATCACGCCAGGGTTTGCATGAGCCCATCCTTAGACTTAGCACCACTGAGACAGAGCTTCTGCTGTCTCTCCAGCACAGCGTTGTCCAGACCAGGCCAATCTGCCACCTTCTTGCACTGATCAGGGCACTCTTTCCCTTGGCAGGGGGCTACGATGGAAACGACGTAGAGTTCAGCTGGCTGAGAGGGAACGACTCTGTGCGGGGGCTGGAAAACCTGCGACTTGCTCAGTACACCATACAACAATATTTCACCTCAGTTACCAGGTCACAGCAGGAAACAGGTAACTCGTAGGACAATTTGCACAAGAGCAATATAGCCTAGTTGTATTCTGAGTCAGAAATATCACCTCTTTTTCACTTTGGCCCCTTCTGGACCCAAGATCCCCTCTGTGATATGCCAAGTGTTTTGGCTTGGCACTTTTACCTGCTTTACACCCACTACTGAAATGGTCCCCAAGAGGCTCACAGTCTAGTGAAGCAGGTATCATGGAAACCAGCAGTGATGCTGCAGGAATACTGTGACAGACAAAGGCACAGGATGAGGCTCATGGTTGGGGGCATCAGCACTCCCATAAATGCTGTGCTATACAAACACAATCTCTTTCATTGAAACTATAATGACAGTTCATTATTAACTATGTTTTGGTGAACAATGGATGGTTTAATGCAAATATAGCTAAGTTAAACATCCCACATGGAATGCCAGGTGAGTAGGGTTGATCTCTTATCCCTTGTTCACCCTATCAGGAAATTACACACGACTGGTCTTGCAATTTGAGCTTCAGAGGAATGTCCTGTATTTCATTTTGGAAACCTATGTTCCTTCCACTTTCCTGGTGGTGTTATCCTGGGTCTCGTTTTGGATCTCCCTTGATTCAGTTCCTGCAAGAACCTGCATTGGTAAGTAGTTCCAACGGGAGATTTCTAAGAACTGGGTTATTAGGTCTCATTTTTTTTTTTTAACTTTCTGCCATTCTTTTATTTGATATTCATAGGATAGTTCTAGGAGCTGGTTTCTTGAGAGAGAGACAGAGAGACTATGTTAGGAATAGTGTATTTTTAAACTTTGTTTTACAGTAACAGATAAGGAAGAATGGTGATTAGATGGACTATTATCAGTTATTTTGTTTACTGAACACCTCCCTCCAGTGAGAAGACAGAAGGAAACGTTTAGAAAGTCGTATCACTCATACCTGTACAAATGGGCGAATCAACTCTTTTCCAGAAGGCCACAGACTTTTCAGAATGAGCTCTGCTCCATTTCTGAGTCCTGTCCCCACTTTGCCAGCTCTTGAATGGAGACAGTTTGCCAGGCAGTGATGGCAGGTGTGCTGACCACTGACATGGGCACGCTGCTCACTTCTTCCCTAGGAGTGACCACCGTATTGTCAATGACCACACTGATGATTGGGTCCCGTACCTCTCTCCCGAACACCAACTGCTTCATAAAGGCCATTGATGTGTACCTGGGAATATGCTTTAGCTTCGTGTTTGGGGCCCTCCTGGAATATGCAGTTGCCCACTACAGCTCCTTACAGCAGATGGCAGCCAAAGATCGGGTAAGAATTTGGGGACTCTGTATATATTCATCACCTGTGCCATATACTGGTCTGTCGACTAGTTCCTGGTTCCTGACTCCCAGGGATTCACTTAGCACCAGTGACTCTCATCCTTGTTCAATTGGGGGAATCTGACAGTCATGACACCTATTTAAAAAGACTATTCTTTTTGCCAATGAGATATTAATATGCTTAATTTTCTAGCAGAAAATAACTGTGTTATCTGTATGCAACATAAAATCACAACCACGGGAACAAGCATCCATGAAAAACCTAGGATCAAATCAAACATGAGGAGCTGCTTATAAGTTCCAGATTAATATGTATTTACTACTTATTCTTTTGTTGCCTTCTTGTTTTCTTAAATTATATAAGTAATGGTTTACAGAAAAATGTATGGAAAAATTAAACTGTGGGAAATTTCATGATTAGCATATTTTTCTGCTAACAGGGAAAGACTAATTATCTGGCTTAGCAGTGAAACACCATGGTTCATCTCTCAGAATAATAATAATAATGATTATTATCAATTGAGCATGTATGTGCCAGACATAGTCACAAGCTCTTTGCAAATATTATGCCATTTAAAATGCTCGTGGTCATCATGTCATGGTCATGTGCTCAGTCACGTTTGAGTCTTTGTGGCCCCATGGACTGTAGCCCACCAGGCTCCTCTGCCCGTGGGTTTCTCCAGGCAAGGACACTGCAGTGGGGTGCCATGTTCTATTCCAGGGGATCTTCCTGACCCCACATCTCCTGCATTGGCAGGCAGATTCTTTACCATCTGTAGAACCCTGTTAAAAATGCTCATAACAACTCAGTAAGGCTATCCCTATTTTTACAGTTGTGGGTTCTGAGTATGGGAAGATAAGTAATTTATTCAAGAGGACAAAGACAGGAAAAGGCAGAGCTGAGATTTGAACCTAAATCTGCTTGGCTCCCAAGTCTGACATATCTGTTATTCCCACTTGCAGTGGGCAATGTACCATGCCCTTAACTATTACTTTCTGCAGGCTTATGGAACCCTGGGATTTTTTGGAAGCTCAGTTTGATAGACATTGGCATACTAAAGCTCCTGCTAACAGGCAAAAAAAAAAAAAAAAAAATGATAGGGATCCAGTGCAGAAGAGCTGCCCACCTTCAGCAAAGGGTCAGGACTGTACAAGGTTTAATGGGGAGAAAAGGAGGATTCAGAATAGCCCAGAGATCCAGTTGACTTTTCTCTTGTGCTTGACTATTGTAAACAGTGTTTCACACAGTCATATTACTCAAGTACTAAAGGCAAATGATCACATGTGACAGCCAAAGAATACGTATTTCATTTATTTTACTCCCTGTAGGCTTTCTTTTTTAAAACATTAATTTATTTTTTTAATTAAATTTATTTTTTACATTGAAGTAGAGTTGATTTACAATGTTATATGAGTTTGAGGTGTACAGCATAATGATTATTTTTATATCTAATACTCCATTAAAAGTTATTACAAAATAATGGCTGCTATTGCCTGTTCTATACAATTTACCCTTGCTGCTTTTATATTTTATACATAGTAGTTTAAATCATTCAATTCCATACCCCTATCTTGCCCCTTCTCTTTTCTCTTTCCCCTCTCATAATCACTAGTTTGTTTTCTATATCTGTGAGTCTGTTTCTGTTTTGCTAGTTGTATTCATGTTTTATTTTTTTTTATTTCACATATAAGTGATATCATACAGTCTTTGTCTTTCTGACTTACTTCACTAAGCATAATATTCTCTGGATCCATCCACATTACTGCAAATGACAAAATTTCATTCATATTTATGGCTGGCTAATATTTCATTATATATATATACATATATATGTATCTCACAAATTCTTTATCCATTGGTCAATTGAGGTACACTTGGGTTGCTTCCATATCTTGGCTATTTGTAAATGGTGCATCTCTGAACATTGGAGTGCATGTATCTTTTTGAATTAGTACTTTCATTTTTATCTGGATATATACCCAGGAGTGCAATTGCTAGATCTTATGGTAATCTATTTTCAGTGTTTTGATGAACCTCCATATTGTTTTTCATAGTGACTGCACCAACTTACATTCCCAGCAATGTACAAGGATCCCCTTTTCTCCATGTCCTAACCAATATTTATTTGTAGACTCTTTGATAGTAGCCATTCTGACAGATACAAGGTGATATCTTATTGTTGTTTTGATCTTCATTTTTCTAATAATTAGACATGTGAAGTATCATTTGCCTGTTAGTCATTCTGTATGTCTTCTTTGGAAAAATGTCTCTTCAGGTCCTCTGACCATTTTTTTGATAGTGTTGTTTGTTCTTTTTGATATTCAGCTGTATGACCTGTTTATATATTTTGGATATTAACCTCTTGCTGTTCATGTCATTTGTAAATATTATGTTTCATTCAGTAAGTTGTCACTTCATTTTATTAATGGCTTCCTTAGCTGCACAAAACTTTTAAGTTTAATTAGGCCCCATTTATTTAATTTTTGCTTTTGTTTCTTTTTGTCTTATTAGACTGATCCAAAAAAATATTGCTATGATTTATGTCAGAGTATTCTCCCTATGTTCTCTTCTAGGGTTCTTAGGATTTCAGGTCTCACATTTAGATCTTTAATCCATTTTGAGTTTATTTTTGTATAAAATTAAGTTTTATACAAATTTTAAAATTGAATTTAATTTTAAATTTTAAATTAAATAAAATCTTTCTCATTTTATTCTTGTAAATATAGCTGTCCAGTTTTCCCGGCAGTACTTATTGAAGTGACTCTTTTCTCCATTATATGTTCTCAGCTCCTCTGTCATAGATTAATTGGATTTATCCCTGGGCTCTCTATTCTGTTCTGTTGAGCTGTGTGTCTGTTTCATTCAGCGCCATGCTGTCTCGATTACTCTGTGTCTCCATCTTCGTTTTGTGTTACAGACTTTGTCTGATGTCTGTTTCGTTTGACGTGAGTACTGCTCCCCTGGCTTTTTTTCATTTCTGTTGCACAAAGTGTCTTCTTCTGTCCCCTCACTTTCGGTCTTTGTGAGCATTTAACTTTTTTGTAGGCAGCGTATAGGTGGGTCTTGTTTTTCAATCCTATCACTTACCCTTATCTTTTGTTTGAAGCATTTAGTCTATTGACATTTTGTGTGTGTGTGTGTGTGTCCGACTCTGTGCGACCCCATAGACGGCAGCCCGTGGGATTTTTCAGGCAAGAGTACTGGAGTGGGTTGCCATTGCCTTCTCCATCTATTGACATTTAAAGTAACTATTCCCTTCCATCCAGGCTTCCACATAACATGAAGCAGAGTTCCCTGTGCTCTAAAGTAGATTCTTGGTGGTTATCCATTTTAAATATAGCAGTGTATCTAGGAGGGAGCTCAATGAATTGGGAAGAATGGACACATGTATATGTATGGCTGAGTCCCTTTGCTGTACCCAAAACTATCACAACATTGTTAATTGGCTATACTCCAATACGAAATAAAAAGTTTAATAAAAAATAAAATAACTACTGACAGTTATGTACCTATTGCCATGTTATTGCTCATTTTCTAGGTTTTTTTTGTTGTTGTTCTTCTCAGTTCATTTCCTTGTTTCTTTTCTTATGGTTGATGATTTTCTTTAATAACATTCTTACATTCCTTTCTTTTTAGTTTTTGTGTATCTGTGGTAGGTTTTTGACTTGTGGTATCTACTTGTTTTAAACTGGTAGTAATTTAAGTTCAAACACATTGTAAATGAGCTACATTTTTTACTCCTTTCTCCTACACTTTGTGGTTTTGATGTCATATTTTACATCTCATGTGTCCTTCAACTGTTTTTTTGCAGTTATAGTTGTTTTTACAATTTTTTTGTCTTTTAATCTTCACACTGGCTTATTTAAGTGGTTGAGCCTCAATTCTTACTGTACGTTTGCCTTTTCTAGTAAAGGGATATAGGATTATCCCTTTCCTATATATTCTTTCTTCTTTTCCACTTAGAGAAAATCCTTTAACATTTCTTCTAGGGTAAGTTTATTATTGATGAATTGTCTTAGTTTTTGTTTGTCTGAGATGTTCTTTATCTCTTCTTCAATTCTAGACGGTAATCTAGGATAACCTGGGTTGCAGGTTTTACCCTTTAGAGCATTGAATGTATTATGTCACACTCTTCTGGCCTGCAAAGTTTCTGCAGAAAAATCAGCTGAGATTTATGTGGGATCCCTTGTATATGATTCTGTATTTTTCTCTTGTCTTTAGAATTCTCTCTTTATTGTTAACACCTGGCATTTTAATTATGTCTTGGTATGAATTTGTTTGAGTTCATCTTGCTTGGGGCCCTCTGTGTTTCCTGTACCTAGATATTTGGTCCTTGTTTGGGTCTGGGAAGTTTTTAGTCATAATTTCATCAAATACGTTTTCTATCCCCTTCTCTTTCTGGGACCCCTATAATGTGAACATTGATACACTTGATATTATCCCAGAGCTGTTCTCATTTTTAAACTGTTCTCCTTTTTTTTTTAATTTTGTTTTTCTTTTTGCTCTTCTGATTAGGTGGTTTCCATTATTCTATCTTCTAGATCATTTATGCATTCTTCTGTATCACTTAGTCTGCTTCCTTCCTTCTAGCGTGTGTTATTTCAGTATTAAATTCTTCATTTCTTTTCTTTTGGCCACACTGTGCGGTTTGTGGGATCTCATTCCCTGACCAGGGGTTGAACTCAGGCCCTCGACAGTGAAAGCGTGGAGTCCTAACCACTGGACACCAGGGAATTCCTAAGATTGGGCCTTTTTAAAAATATTTTTTAGTTCCTTGTTAAAATTCTCACCATGTTCATCTATTTTTTCCCCTAATTCAGTTAACATTCTTAATAATGTTTTGAATTCTTTATCAGATATTGTTTATTTCTGTTTCATTATTTATTTTTTCAGAGGATTTCTTTTGCTCTTTCAACTGAGATCAGTTCCTTTGACTTTTCATTTTGCTTAAATTTCTCTGCCTCTACGAGTTTAGGTGAAACAGCTACCTATAGCGGCCTTGCATAGGCCTCATGTGGATATGTCCCTATACAGAGTGCCTCTGCTGGGAAAGCTGAACTTGTGGAAGCTAGTCGTGTCTTTCCTCAGCATGTGCTGGCAGCTGTCACCTTGGTGGAAGGTGGGACTGGAGATGGAGGGGCTAGGACCAGAGCCTGGTGTGAGGTGTGACTTCCTTTCTGCCCGGTGACCCTCCTCACCCTATTAGGGTGGGATCTGATCCCAAGTTGCTGGAGCAGAAGCCCTGAGGATTGGACCCATGCAGGCTCTATCCCTTTTAAATGTATGCTTTTCCCTCTGCCAGCCCCTGGGAGGTGCTGAGGAAAGGGAGGCCTATAGCTGGGCAGGCTGCAGACAGCGGCCCGCGTTCTCTTTGATGTACTCTCTGGGCAGGTACCAGCAGTTGTTGCCTTTGCTCTGCTTGGGCCCAACCTCGGGTCCAGGTCCTCTTTTCCTTCGTAGCTGATCACTCCTCCAGCCTCTGCCACCCCAGCCCTGTTGTGAAGTCGCACTACAGGGCAAGCAGGACCCGTGTGGACACTCTGTGTGGACTGGGGGCAGTGAGCTACGGCGCGTCAGCCATTGTCAGAGGCCTGGGCTGCTTCTGATATGCCGCTGGAATAACAGTCAACAAGGGCTGCCGCCACCCCACCCAGGCTCTGCCCTGGGACCAGGCTGCCTCTGCGTTCCATAGCTGAGTTTTCTTTCCAGTCCACATGCTATGTTGTTCCAGCTATGGTGGAGAATGGCAACTCCACGGGATTGCAAGAACCATCATTATTTCTGTTTGTGTGGCAAAAACCTTAAGACACTGCGGATTTCTATTAACTTCAATAATCAGTTACTCCCTTCTCCCTGGAATAGAATGAAATCGCCAAACACCTACTAAATGCTTTACATAATTTATACCATTTAATCTTCCCATCCCTCTCAAGAGGTAGGTATTAACGTTATCAACATTTTGCAGGCAAGGAAATCCAGTTCTAAAGGAATTGAGGTGACTAAAATGTCACAATAGTGAAAGACAGAATGGGATCTGAAACCAGGTCAGTTATCTTCAAACTGACCTGAGCAATTAACATTCAGCACCCTAGAGAAAGAAATGGCAACCCACTCCAGTATTCTTGACTGGGAAACTCTGTGGACAAAGCAGCCTGGTGGGCTACAGTCCATGGGGTCACAAAGAGTTGGACACAACTGAGCGCGCGCACACACACACACACACACACACACACACACACTCAGCTCTGCACATCTAGGACGGGCAGTGGTTATTCTCCCCATTATACAAGCTGACGACTTAAAAGACAGGAGCCTAAGCAGGATATCAGGACTGCCAAGTCTTGCTTACGAGCCAGTATATAAGGCACTCAGTACTGCTCTCTCCTAAACCTAATTATTCAGTATTAAGACCTCTACGTATATGAATTGTTGTTGCTTAGTCACTCAGTCGTGTCTGATTCTTTGCAACCACATGGACTATAGCCCTCCAGGTTACTCTGTTCATGGGATTTCCCAGGCAAGAATATTGGAATGGGTTGCCATTTCTATCTCTAGGAGATCTTCCTGACCCAGGGATCGAACCCACCTCTCCTGCATTGGCAGGTGTATTCTTTTACCACTGAGCCACCAGGGAAGCCCCACGTATATAAATACCCACGTACTTATTTTGCTAAGTCGTCTATCAGACTAACCACCGTGTTTATGAACTAGGGGAAAGCAAAGGAAGTGGAAGAAGTCAACATTACTAACATCATCAACAGCTCCATCTCCAGCTTTAAACGGAAGATCAGTTTTGCCAGCATTGAAATTTCCGGAGATAACGTCGACTACAGCAACTTGACAATGAAAACCAGTGACAAGTTCAAGTTTGTCTTGCGAGATAAGTTGGGCAGGATTGTTGATTATTTCACAATTCAAAACCCTAGTAATGTTGATCGATATTCCAAACTACTATTTCCTTTGATTTTTATGCTAGCCAATGTATTTTACTGGGCATACTATATGTATTTTTGAGAAGATGTTGAACTGTGTGCAAGCCAAAGATCATCAATAAAGCAATGTAATAAGGTAAACGATAGTCTAAGCCAAGTGTGCACCCTAACCTAATGGTGCCACAAGTGACTAAAATAACATTTGAGCGTTTCTCCTCAAAGAATGGATCACCCAACCATTATTTAAGCTGTGTAGAAGTCCTAGCACTACATCTTTTAATAGAAATATCTACCCATCTATTTTTTATTTTTATGAAGGACATCCCTATGGAGCCCGATTACAAGCCTACTCAGGACTGACTGCCCAGTGGCTCCCTGGTCTGCATTTAACTCATATCAAAAAGGAAAAGGAAGCTATTACATGTATTGAGTCAAGTGGCAGAGGTTGTTTCTAAATTAATCACACATGCTATTTACTAAATCTCTACAGTGCTTAAAAAATACATTGTTGCTTAGTTGGGGAGTAACATTTTCTAGTTTTTGGTTTTGATTAAAATGAAATGCAGGTTTAAGTAAATTAACTGAAAGTCAGTGCAGTAAATACCAAGATGAGTTTTTAATATAGTGTCTATTGCCACAACAGAACTGTCCACATATTCCAACAAGTCCTACCATTGAAAATCAAATGTAAGTGAAGAAAAATTTAGTGGTCCAATAATGTTAAACATAAATCTCTCCTTTTTTAAAGATATAATGGATTCCCCAAACTGGGAGAGCTCTGGGGCTTCATTCTCCCAGTTGACATGTCTTATCATTTTACTATTATGTGCATGCCAGTCCTAAACAATGCTGAAGCCATTTCCCCACATCATGGGAAAAATGGAGGAACTTTTAAAAAACTTATTCTAAGAGCCTTTATACAGACATGAAGCCTTGCAGAATCAAGTCCAATTCTATCTGCTGCTTCAACACTGAGCAACAATTTGCCAGCAGCGGATCCCCGGCATCCTTCCATGAGGAGCCTTTATCCCTATGCTCTTATGACAAGGAAGGATGCTTATTATAATAGATAATGAGCTACATCACCCAGAAACAAGTGGCTTATCACAAGTGGCTTGCTCAGACACCTGATCTTTCTGGCTGGACTACTTTGAGTGGCTTATCCTGCCTCGGTAGGATAATTTTGATCCTGGATCCAGAGCTTTCTGAGTAACAGTCAGTAACTTGTCACAGAACAAGGTGCTGCAGGTGAGCTATCTTTTCCAAGCCCAGCCGCTCTCACCCTAACAAAAGAAGCACCGTAGGTGCGTCCCTGCCTCCTGGCCTAACTCAGCCAACAGTACCATAAATGGTAATTTGTGAGTGTGCCATGATAAAGGCTTTGGTTCAGGGTCAATCTTTTAAAAGAATCTTGCCATCTTTAATTCTCTAGCTTCTCTGTCTAATAAATGTACCCTTTTACTCTTCCTTTCAGAAACGAACTATGGCTTTGGAAGATTATCTCTCCCCTATCCCCGTACCATAGGCTGTCCTTCTTCCCCCCTTTATGATATTGCTAACAATTTAGTTTCTATGGGTTTGATCAACTGAGTTTTTTAAACAAAATGTTTCTGATGGGAATGGAAGAATTAAAGAGGTGGATGCAACTGTATGGTTCAATAATATTTGTGATTCTTTTTAATAAGGATTGAAAGGAAATATGTTTTGAAACTCCAATCAAGCATTATATTTTTAAAAAAGGTATGAAGATGTGAAACTGTGAAATAAATATATCATATTAGCTACATACCAAGTCAAGCAGTCATCTATAGAATATGTTTAAGATCCCATTTGGAAAAGTTGTTAATCATAATACAAGGACTCTTCCATCCTCATATTCCCTTCAACCTAGACCATACACATGTATATTCACAAACACACACACACACACACACACCCCTACTGTTTCCTACTGAGGCGGGTAAACACTCGTGAAACAGTCATTATCATTCTTTGACATCACTGTACCACAACACTTGCTTTGCAGTTAAACAGCTAGGACTGGTGGCATTGAAAGAACTACTTCTCAAAAAATGTCCTAGATTCCCTTCCAAATCTTCTTCTTTAATTTTAAATTCTCTTTTGTTTTTGTTGAATGATATTTTTATAGTTTGAGAACATACTTTGGGGAAAAAAATTCTTAGATTTTTGTGTCACAATGAAACTTATGTAGATTGCAATATTAGAGCCCTCAGTAAAAGCACTCCAAATATTCTAAGTCTGTTCCATGTATCATACCTACCCAGATCAGTCCCCAACTTGTTTTATCCAAAGCATTTATTTCTTAGGTAAAAATGGCAAGGCTAACTCATCAATTATTTTGATATTGAGAATATCAATATTTAATATCCATATCAATATTCTCAATACAGGGAGGAAAATATACATACATAAGATGTAGATATATTCAGTAACAAGCAGATGACGGCAGGTTAATTTCAAATGAAAGGAAGGAATGGAGAAATGAGCATGGCAAAAAAGAGCTAGAGATTACATTAGACCAAAGCTGAAAATAAGTCGGCAATGCAGTACCATTAGGAGAAAAAAATACAGTTTGGGTTTTCAGTTACAGGAAAGTATAGTGATACTGTATAGTTTGTTAGGGAAAGTTTGACCACCAGGACTCAGGTGTGATCTTTCCTCAGTACTATGCATTACTCTTACACATACAGTTCTTCTCAGCTACTTGCTTATAGTTAATTTTGATCAGTTAGCAATGTGTTTACTACCAAAGATCCTCGCTTCTTAATACACATTTTAAAAATTGAGTCTTAACAGGAATTATACCCCATCATACAGTCAATATAATTTGTGTGTTTTACTAATGAATTTAAAGAAGAAGGAAAGAAAAAAAAATTTTAAATGAATTAAAAAAAAGAAGAAGGAAAGAACATTTGAATACATATCTCATGTTTTTAAAATAATTTTTAAAATATATAATACACATCTTTTTTGAATTTTTGTAGAGAATTTATATATGTATATATCAGACTGTAGTATATTTGGGTTGAAAAACATTAAGTCCAAATTTAGCCACTACACTTTTAAGAAGGATGTACAGAAAAGGAAAAAAGAGTCAAAGAAAAGTTGCAGAAATGATTAAAATTTTGGAAAACAGATCCAATAAGAAGGCCTTTTTGCACTTTGAAAAGCAAGACTAAATGATAATGACTGTCATTAGGTTCAGGAAGGTTTTGTACACGAGACATACTGTTCCACTATTCACCTGAGTAAGCAAACTGAATAAAAGTAAATAGAAACAAACTTAAAAGGAAATCTAATTGTTTTGAAGAAAGAAAATGTGCAGTTTGGATAATGAAATGCAGTTGAATAATGAAATGCTCAAATAAACATCTAGTCTCCATCTGGAAATTTCCCATGAGAATAAATAATTTTTTCTCCTCTTTGATTTTGCCATACACCTGTTTGAAAGCAGAAGAATCTGCTAGGTAATCTTGGGAGGTTGTAGATACAAGGAGATGCCTCTGGCTTCAAAAATTTAAAGTGTTGTAACAAGTATTGCTAACAAAGAATGTTTGCCTAAGAATATTCCTGGTGACCCACAAGGTTGAGTTCCAAAATTATGCTTTCTTTTGGGGGATTTGAAAGGGAGTCATATGACTCACAGCTTTCAGTGACTTGGATGAGTAGTTAGATTGACCATCCAATCTAACTACTTAAAATTGTGCCTTTTCAGAAATTAGAGAAGAAACAATCCCATTTGGAAAACCAGAAAGGGGAATAGGGCATAAAAAGTGAGTGATTAGCTGTATATTGATCCAATGTCTCTGTGATCTTCGAGAACATCTGCATCTACAAACCAGTTATCTCTTCTTTAATAAGCCCAGACTAGAGCCATGGGCTAACCAATCTTGAGAGTGAGGTGGTTCATACTCTGCATTCATGATGGGCCTGCTTCCTATTCAAGTCAAGGCATGAATTTTATTCAAATCCTCAAGGAATAGGATTTCACACTTCATCACCCAAATCTCTATCTTCATCTGTAAATTTCTCCTCTTACCCAATACAGAAACTTAGTTCACTTACTGTGTAGAAAATTATTAACATAGCAAGCCTGAGACTGCTGTCCTTAAAAATGGTCTCTTTGAAAGGTGACCCTTAGTTGGCATCTGAGAAATTGGATTCGGGGAGAGTTCTCCTTATTCCCTAATTGGTTAGAGTGGCTCACTGGGCCTAATCTATTTGTACAAACAATATGGTTTGTGCTGAACATCTGCTTCTCTTCTGGGAGTCTGGAATTTGGGATCATGCTAAGCAAAGGGGTGACTGTGTGAGCAGCCCCCAGGTAAAATCTTGGATACTGAGTCTCTAATGAGCTTCTTGGTAGACAGCATTCCACACTTGTCACAATTGCATGCTAGAAAAAATTAAGCATGTCCTAGGGAGGACACAGGGAAAAGACTCTTGGAAGTCCATGTCTGGTTTTCTCCCCTCCAGGCCATGTGCTTTTATTTTCCCTTGGTTGATTGTTTTTTATATCCTTTTGCTATAATATATCATAGCCATGAGTACCACTGTATGCTGAGTCCTGTGAGTTCTAGAAAACCACTGCACCCATGGATGGTCTTAGGGACTCCCAACTCACATGCTTTGGAAGTGCTGTGCTGTGCTGTGCTTAGTCGCTCAGTCGTGTCCAACTCTGTGTGACCCCATGGACTGTAGCCTGCCAGGCTCCTCTGTCCATGGGGATTCTCCAGACAAGAATACTGGAGTGGCTTGCCATGGTCTCCTCCAGGGCATCTTCCCAACAGGGATCTAACCCAGGTCTCCCGTACTGCAGGTGAATTCTTTACCATCTGAACCACCAGGGAAGCCCAAGAATACTGAAGTGGGTAGCCTATCCCTTCTCCAGGGGATCTTCCCGACCCAGCAATTGAACCAGTGTCTCCTGTATTGCAGATGGATTCTTTACCAGCTGAACTACCAGGGAAGCCCATGCTTTGGAAGAGTGGATCCCAAATCTGGCTGATCATCAAATTCACTGGGAGAGCTTTGTAAACGATAGATTTCAGAGTCTCACCC